CCCTTTCATCATTCTGTATATGGACATAGTTGCTATGAAGTTATAATACACATGTGCAAGACAGTGGAATTTAGGAAACCTGGAAAGTTTTCAGGTTAGACTACCATGTAGTCCCCCATGCTTCTTGAAATACAGTAGGTTAGAGAATCAAGTCCAAGCAGGTAATGAAAATTATCAAATTATTTAAAAGCCCATGGCATGGAAACCTGGAAGGAGAAAAATAAGAGATGATTAGGTGAGTAGACTATTACATGTGACAATTGAGCTGGAGAGTTTTACCGAGGGGATATGGACACAGACAGAAGTTTGGGTACTAGGTAACCCAGTCATTTGTATGGATGGCAAGTATGAAAAAGAAATCCCTTCAAAATTTACCACTTGTTTTAGAATTCCTTTTTCCCTGCAGTGTTGGATCAGTTTCTGCAAGGATACATTACTAGGTTTTGCAGGTATTTCTCATACTTGGACTCTGCCCAAAGAATTTGCAGGGAAGATCAGGGCACCAAGCAAAGAAACTCCTTGCAGCCATTTGATTCAATTTGTTGTAGCTGGACTTTTAAGAAATAGTTCTGTTAATCTGTGTTCAAACATCTGCAGGGTGTTTTTTAGGGAAATCAGCAGCCTGGTCTTTGTAAACTACTTTGACATGTCCAATCTCATTGAAAAGTTTGCTCTAGCCAGAAGGAAACCAACTGCTTTCCAGCAGCAGGAGAAGCTCCAAGGATTCTTGCCCTTTCTAATTCACATTCTTTCTTCAAGTCAATTATTGCCCTCACACCCTTTGCTTGCAACTGGGAAGTTAAAACTGTCTCCATAAACAATAAAAAACCTATTCTTGTTATAAATTATGTTTTTCATCCACTTTTGCTAAAAATACCCAAGGTATTCCTGGAAATCCCTTTCAGAATGAAAGGGGTCAGTCAGAGTATGACACGCCCAACATGCATAACATGCTTTACTACTGCAAATAGTATCTGGTACTAGCCACAGAACATGCTTATCTTTACCCCCTTTAACATTTAGCTTCGTAGTATGTGGTAGTTTTAATATTATGATTATTGCTACTTCTTACCACTGGGATACACATCAAGAATACTCATCAGAGAAGCTCTCTACAAAACAGTATAATTTCTACTTTTGCTGTCACAGGATATGAGTCCTGGATGAAACTGATGTAAATTTGATTCCTGTACCTTTTAAATATCGTGGAGTTCTTTACAGTGACCACTGGGGAATCTGTACATGGTCTGGGCTTTGACACAACAACACAGGCCTCCTCCAAGAACAAACAGGAATGCTTGCAGTCCTGATAACAGCTGGATCTGCAGGATGATTTGTACAGTTATTAGCTGGAAGTTATGTTCTATAGAGTCCTTTGTAGTCCATTCAGTGCTGTTGGAGGCTGCAGGATCAGCTCATCATCCTCCAGCTGCTCTCTCATTAATACACCTCTGACCTGAAGGCCTATTCTGAGTGGGACAGAGACTCTCTAGTCAGTTAAATCACCTGTCTCTTGGCTATGCTGTGAAGACATAATTATAAGGATTAGACTGAGACCATTAATTTAGAGCAAAAATAATACTGTCTGTAAGAATTTGAAGATTTAAATCCCAAAGACTCATAGCAGAACCCTGGTAAAGCTCATGTTGTATGGACAGTGACCTATTGCTGTGTCCAGGTCTCACAGAGAATATTTATTTCATAATACCTTTAGCATGCTTAATAAGCACATGGACCATGTTCCTTCCAGCAAGCAGCAGCTGTTAAAGATAACATAAAATGCCTTGTGAAGATGATTGTGAGTCTTGATTGTCTATGAAGGGAGACTAATGTAACTGGGAAACCAAGACACTTCAGTTTAACTGGAATGAATCCATGCTGTGTATTCTGTCATCCCTTTATGGAAGAGCAGTTCTGATATAATGTGCTGAAAGACATTTTGGTCAGGGGCATGGCTTAAGGCCACCTTCTTTTACAGCTCACCTATCCCCGGAAATATAGTAACTGAAGCACAGAACATGAGCTTTTGTTTTAACAAAGTTATTTTACAGTTTAGAAATAGGAAGAATCTCCAAAACCTATGACACATCTTAAAAAAAAGTTCTGAATCCCCTGTTTTATATGACCAACAAAGACATAAACATTACTCAAAATTGTTAAGGAAGAGGGGTAGAAGAAGCAGGAAGAATGTTAGGCACATCACTAAGAAAGGATGTGTTGGAGAAAGTGGAGTGGAGAAGAGAGAGCAAATGGCCAAACATTAAAACAGAAAGGCACAAGTGCTAGATCAGGAAAGGAAACCAACTGAAAATGTGAGGATGGGGGGGAAACAATGCAAAAGAGTTTGTGGTGGGTGGAGAATGATCAGGCCAAAGCTAATGAGCTTTTTCTCACACTCTGAAATCGACAGATCTACCATGTGCTCCAGCGAACTGTGGCTTCTTTCCACAGCAAGGCAGATGACTTTTTATCAGATGTGTCACTTGGTGAAATAATTGCCAGCAATAATGGTGCAATAGCAGCATACTCCGAGCACAATTTATCCATGTCTGCTCTATCTTTCAACTTCAAAGCTTCTACTGCCTCCCAGATCACATCAAAATGACACCTCTGTCGTTAATGACAGTGGTCTAATGCAATACCGAGAAGTCAAATCACTTCCCCAGATAGGCAGAATGCCTCATACAGAAACTAGGCATGTGCACGGGTCCTGACATTCATATTCAGATTTGTATTTGTGGGGAAAAGGGTGGGTTTGACATACAGATTTATTCATATTTGCAACAGCCTGTTTTATAAAGCACAAAATTCACTAAAATTAGAAAGGAGTGGGGACAAGAGCAGCATGCAGAGCCTTAACTTATGCAAAGTGAATGCCTGGATGTTGGAAATTTCCCTTTGCACAGCCCACAGCACGTGTTAGCCAGTCACAGGTCAGAGATGTGATTTGTCTTTAAAGAAAGAAAGAAACAAATGAGCCAAATAAAGAAAAATGTACCTTAAAATGCACACTGTCCTTGTAGGCAAATGCACATATTTTTCTGGATCTAGGAACAAAACAAGCTGCTGTGAAGCCCCTCCTGGTGGTCATTACTCAGGTAAAGAAGAAAGCTGGCAAACTGCAGTTATTAAAAAGAAAGAATTGTCTGTTTATTTTCCAGTGCTGTTTGAAAATTACCATAGAACAGTAAATCTCTAAATATGAAAAATATGTATTCTTCTTACATAGTATACATAAACACACATGCAGCCAACATAGTGGCAGGGACACCATTTGTTTAAGTTTCATTAAGATGTGTAGTTAAAAGCCTTATTAAAAGGGTCCATTTCTCACTTCAGTGAGTTCAGTGAAATTTATTGCCTGAGGGTTAAGTAATGCTTCAGAGAAAAAATGAGATTTAGGAATATTTTCATATGTTACCATCTTTTCCAACAGAAATATTTCCTATAATGGCTGCTTGGATGGAGGGTTTAGACTTCAGTGTATGTTTTCACAGCACTTTATGTATTAAAATAGAAATCAAACAAAACAACCAGCTCTCAGCTTCACCTCTAAGTAAAAAAAAAGGAAAAAAAAATCTTCTTTGGGTAGAAAGCAAGGCCAATTTTTTGTAACAGATTTATTTTTCTCAGTTGAAAAAGTTCTTCTTTGGGTAGAAAGCAAGGCCAATTTTTTGCAACAGATTAATTTTCTCAGTTATTATTGCTATTCCACAAACATGATTAGAAGAACTTGGTTAAAAAGACAAATAAAGGGAAAGAAATGGAAAAGGAAAATTTTCCCAAACCCCACATGTTGACCCATTTGGATGGTGAGAAGGAGATGTTCTATGGCAGCCATTAGCAGTGTATTGCCATTGAATAGGGTCTATAGTGTAAATTACAGACTGCATGCTTGTGTGCTTTATTTTGTGTCCTGGTGGCCTTGTTATTTATTGATTGTAGGCATTTTGGAACAGCCTAACTGGAAAATCAGTTCTGTGAATCAGATTTTGCTTCTAGACCATGATTATGGGCCAGGAGACTGCTTCCATGAAACTGAAAATCCCCATGGCCTGGGGAAGTTTACAGAAGCACGAAGAGACTGTGTACACCTAAATATAATGCACTGAAAACTGCAGTGATTATCCAGTTTTTTGTTGCATTGTTTTTGGTTTTCTTTTTTAATTATTTATCTTAAAGCTGTAGATAGAAGACTGCAGAGAGATTGACACTGCTCAGTTGCTGCTGCCCTCTTCATCAAGGGAACAAATTTCAAAGAACATTTATTTTTTGTTTCGTAAATATTCAATGGCAGCTCACTCTTAGACCTTGCTTTGGGATAAGAAGGAGGAAATAGTGGTTTGGCTTTTTCTGAAGAAATTAGAATGTTTATTAATACTCTTACTTTCATGCCAGCTTATTTAAGCAATAATTTTAATGAAGTCTTAATTTTGCATTCTTCCAGAGTTTAATTCATAGTTTTTTGTTAATTTCTGTCCATGACCACAGACCCTTTACTACCCCTCCCAAATGCCAGATTTCACTCATGTTACTGGACAAAAGTTGACATCAGTTCTCTTTTTTTGCATAGACTCCCCTCTGTCAAAAATAGCTCCCAGTTGTGCTCTGACAGAAGGGTAGAGCACATTTCTCCAAAGTTGTCATGACCATTACTTTGCTGTCAGTCAGTAATTTTTGGTGTTGATTTTTTTCTTGAACTGACTTACAGTTTTAGAATGAAGAGACTGTCTAGGATTTCAATTTTATTTACTATTTTATTTAACTTTATTTACTTCATTTTTGCCTCAGTTGGTTTTCCTTCTATTCTAATTATTTCATAATGTTCCAGCAGAAAGAAATACAAAAGCAGGAAGTTGGAGCAGCAACAGAGCATTTCTAGAAACCATGGGATGGTAAGGGTTCTTCTCACAGAATCCAACTGCTGTCATACAAATCCTTCCTTTTTGGGTATCTGCCATCATATTGCTGAGAACTAGCCAAAACATTTCTATACAGACCTGCTGGAAAACATCCCTGAAAATTCTGACTCCAAGGAAGAACCAAATTCCTGGGAGCTCTCTACAAAGTCCTGGCCTCCTGTGCCTCTTGTCCTGCATAGTTGTCCCAGAGAATACTGAGAATGAAATAAGAGATCATGGATTAAGTAAAGATCTTAAATTATTTTCATTTTATTTTATGTAGAGAACCCTGATAACCTAAACCCTCTGCTTTCTCATGGGTCAGGAATGCACATGAGGAATTATTGGAAGTTTCTCCTATTTGTCCTGCCAACTTGGTTTATCTCTATAGTGAAAATGGTCCAAGGGCAAAGAACACGGTGTTCATACTCTAGAACTTCTAATTTAACCTTCATGCACTCCTCACACCAACAGAGTATTACTGTACTGCTTATTCAGTTCCAATTGAATTGTGCTGGCCAGCAGTTTTCAGTTTGGGCTCCCCCACCATTTATGGAATAGTGGTGGTTTTCCATCCATCCCAAGCAACCTGTGTAAATTCTGAGTAGTCATCTTAAAGGGAAAAAATCTGTGTCTTTCTACACCTATGCCTTGTACCTATCATAAAACAATTTTCCCATTTGTTTATGCATATAAATAATACATATTTCCATTTTTAAATACAGAAAATATTTTACTTTTATAGAAAATTACTAAAATCCAGCTGGGGATTTTCTCTAAATTTTCAGCATGAAGCATCCATTATCTCTGAGTAATGATTATCTTAAAATTCCCTCCAGGTTTAATGCACAAAAATTTATTTCTTAAGAAAATAATTAATCAACAGGAATTCAATTTTTCTCTCATTAAAATTTGGAACATTTTGACTAAACATGTATAACAAATGCAAAAGAGACAATACAGAAATGTTTAAAAACTTTTTGAATTTTGGACACAAAAATTAATATTTGGTACTCTCAAGCACTCCACTTAAGTACCTTCAAATACAGAAACTGAGGAACTAGGCCCTGATCTGGATCTTTGGGAAGCTCAGAAAAGATCCGTGGGCAAACTGCAGGATATTGTTAGACTCCTTAGGCAGAGTCTCTGGGGGTTTTTGTAGGACCGCTTCACTGGACTTCAATTTCTGTTCTATTTTGCTCAGTTTTTTTATATTTATGCATGCAAAGACTCATTCTTGTATAATACAATCAAGATTTAGTTACCTTATCATCCTTTCAGCTACAAGCTCAGTTTCCCTCTTGCTCACAAAATTCTGCACAACTGCACATCAGAGGTGGCTCACATGAGAGGGTCTCTCTGTCTATTCACCCTTATTTGTGCTCACTGCCTTTCTACTGTTTCCTCAAGCAATACATGTTGCATTTTGTCCAAAGGAGTGACCACCAGTAGCTGCTGCAACAAGTATTTCTTTTATCTATTTCATGTTCTGGATTACATATATACTAAAATTACTGTGGAAAAAAAACCCCACTAGATGTAAGTTTGTCATAGCAGTCAGCTCAGAAATGTTTTTCTCCCTATGGTGGCTTTGTAAAAAGAAATACTCCTAAAACCTCTGCCCTGTAATCAGCCAAGGACCCTAACGAAAAAGCACTTTTAGAAAGTGCAAAGATATAATAGTCCCAAGATGAATCTGCCCTACAGTTCCATTTTCTGCCATACAAACGTTTGGGAGCTTATCGTTGAAGCCACATTAGTCTTGATTTAAGGTCTTTTGACACATTATTACAGCACACTGCCATCACTTCACACCTGTCATTCTGTCAGTCAGAAGAGAGGGAGGGGAAACAATTTTGATGTCAATCAACAAATCCTTCGAGAGGTGTAACCTGTTAAGACATATTACCCTTTGCCCATTGCGATTTACAGGCTTTGAATTTAAAGGACATATGCCAGAAATAATTAAAGACTAATCTTTATTGTACTCACTTACGAATGAAGGCATTTAGTACCACCAGCACATTTATATTGTCCAGAAGAAGAAAGAGATAGAGGAGCAGAGCGTGATACTACAACTACTCCTTCCATTTCTATTAATCAATTGTTCTGTCTGGATGGTAAAATCCTCTGCCCTCATGGAGCAAATACTTTGTAAGGTAGCTTTTCCTCTTACACTTGTATTTATGTCCTAGCAATGTACAGATGGTTCCAGTATGATGCAAGATCTGTAACACTGTTTTTGAATCAAAATGGTATTTTAAAAATAGAGGAAAAAATTGCATGGAATTATTGAAAAAATTACCAAGTGAATAGGGAAAAAAAAAAAACCCAAAACCAAAACAAAACAACTTATCCTGTCCTCTGCATCTTAGTGGCTACAAAAATCAATCTCAGCCTAGAGAACTACAACTTCCATAGGCATGGCTTTGGATCACCTTGTAACTACTCTGTTGTAATTTACTTGGAGGCATCAGAGGAGTGATGTCAACCTCAAAATCTGAATTTAGAATCTAAATCCTGAGTTGAAGGAGGCTATTTTTTTCCCCAAGCTAGGTTTCCAAAGTGACACAGAAGAAAGAAGCATTTACACAGCCTACTTGTTACTGTTCACAACTCATCTCTGGAAGGAACATCTTGTCCTTAGGCTGACCTTAGAGCTACAATCTAAAGGAAATAACTGCAAAACAAGAATAGCTATGGAGAAAATAAAATAACAGGCAGGGACTATATAGTCCAGAGAGAACCAGGATAAAAAGAATTAATTATATTGTAAATTTTTTACACTACTGCACTGTATTACTATACATACAGCTTGTTTGGGTGAGAAGTTGGGGGGAATTGTGGAAGCTCTGACTTGCAGCTGCCACCACATGCTATCAAAACCCTGCTGGGAAGACAGTTTTGCAATTTTGCTAGCCAATTTAAAACAAACTTTGGGCTCATTGTCCAACAGGTAAACCCTGCATCACTTACTCATCATCACAGAACATTTTCCTGCCTCTTTTTTGAGTTGTACCTCTCTCATTAATGTACAGACCCACACACACAAACACACAGGAAGAGACACGTGGAGGCAAGAACAACAGAGCAATTGCCCCAGCTGTGCCCCAGACCTTTAAGGACTAACACACCACTCTCCTGGGGAAGCACATCGAGTGTGGTGTGCTCTGCTGGTAGGTGGGATATCACAATCCCCCAGGTGATCTGGACACACAGTGCACTCAATTTGTATTTACTGTTTCCACAAAAAAATGCACAGATTCACACACAGCCAAAAGCATTGTGCCTACATTTGCTTATTAATTTTGCCTGAGGGAATGGAAGGGCTAAATTGGCTTTAGTAGTAGTGACAGAAGTGCACACTTACAGTAACAGCTCATTTTCCATTTCCTAAAATAAGGAATCAATCTCACTTATGAAAGACTACACCATCTCAGCTCTCACAATTTGAAGAGGTACTTTGAAGGAGTGGGATGTTGAAAGACAAGGAAGTTGTAAGGAGGGGTGGATTTTAATTTACCATTTTACACAGGGCTAGGAAGAAACCAAATGACTCCTCATCATCCTTCTGATTAGATACTCTGCTTCTTTTCACATTTTCGTTACATTTTCCTCCACCTCTACTACTTTCTGTTCTCTCTGAAGGTGGCTCAGACACAACCATGTCAACCAACCAGCCCTTTTGCCTCAAATTCAACCTGCTGGTGCATTCATATACTTCCAGTTGCTGTGGCAACTTAACATACATCAGCAGCTGTGCCTTGACTGTAAGCTGTAGCGGAAGCAAAAAACAGTACTCCAATTTTTACATGAGAAGCCAAGACTCTCTAGGACAGGCCAGAATTGCTGATTTCAGGGAAAATCAGCGCTCACAGCCATGCATAAAGCAAAAACCAAATAACTATACCTAATTCAGGAGCAAAAGATTATAAACAGTGTCTTGTCTAGTATTTTGTGGCAACTGTAACATAAAGGAGCTCTGTGTTACCTGCTGGCAGCTGATGGCTGATTCTGCATTTACAGAGGCAACATTTTCAAAGCAGCACAGGAGCAAAGCTGGTAGAAAATGTGATTTGAATGAGGCTCTTAGTTTGAAGCTGGTCAGAATAGAACCTTGTCAGCCTGGAAGACTGTCGAATATGCTGTGACATTTAATCAACTGCTTGACTACAGGCTCACCTTTAGTGTCTGTGGTGAAGTGAACATGATTCCCCTCACCTTGCTTCACATCACACATCACTTTTCAGTGCACTGCTGTAGAGAGCTGGGTTATAGCCTTTTTTCTTTTCCCTAAGAGGAACACAGTAACAGAGGTCAGCTACAGTCATGAATTTTATGAAAGGTTTGCTGGGAAACCACATTAAATGGCAACATCAGTCCATACATCAGCCCTGTAGTGCTTTTATTCCAAGACTCTGCAGCTGAGTGATTTGCAATGTACTTGCATTTCATGGCCATCATTTTTAAGCAATGTCATTTGCCTTGGTATCCGACACTTCAGCTGCACCAGAATCCACCCAGCTATTCATGATAAATTTCTTCCAAGAAAAAATCTCCACAAGAAACACTCCCAGGATCCCCAAACTCCAATCTTTAGAAGCCTTGGATATAAAACCAGGCATGGACACCTCAAAATGCAGTAGCGACTGAAGAGAAAAAGCTAAGAATAAAATTACAGTCCCAGAATTCAGCAAAGTAAAAAATTTTGATTAAAAAGTGAGGTCAACCAGATGCTATTAAAACATAAGATATGGTCTATATCATTAATATGGCAAATAGAATGCTTTTAAAAAAAGTTTTTGAAGGAAAACTGACACTAATTACTTTTTTCTCCAGAGAATAATTTTTTTTCCAGCAATGATATCAACTCTATTCCAATCACAATACTGTGTATATTTTTGTGTTTTCTATTACAAAATACTCAGTTGCAGATGTTATGTCATGTCTATCACATCACAGATCCATTTAATTGTCAATATGAAATTGTGTTAAATCATTGAGCCTCTTAATCTCTTCTGAGAAAGGGGTTATTCAAAAGGTAACGGTAAATACTCAAATTTGTAAGCAGGTGTGCTAATATTTGAACATCAAGGAAAGACTATCATGAGTAAACTTTAAAGAAAATCTAATAAAAGTCATACTCCTACTGGAATATCTCAAAATGCTAGACATTAGGCTGTAATCTTTATGGAGATATTTCTTGCACTTTGGAAACTGTACTGGCATATTTAAGAGGGTTCACAACTCAGGAAGTCTGCTCCTGAAATGGCTTCACAAACTAAAGTTTTAAATATCAGATATCTTTTCACAACAATAACTACACAGGGATGCACAGTCCTCCTAATTTCACTTAGGGATTCTTAGGCCAGAAGTCTGTGTCTGCAACTGAAAGGAAAGAGAGCACAAAGTAGCAGGTGTGACAGCAGCACAGCATCTGGCCCAGTACTTAGGAAAGAGAAGGAGAGGAAAATGGTACCCAACAGCTATGGACCCTTAACAGGTGGAAGTAGCAGCTGTATGGCTTTTCTTGGTCTTCCTGTTTTGACAGACTTAATTTCTATTGCAGAATTTCCAATAATTGCTGTAAATGCCTGCAACACCCCATATCCAAAACTCTAAATCAAAGCTACTTTACCAGAAGTAGTAAAGCAGTCCATTATTTCCACCTGCTAGGAAGGTAATTTGTATCCATGACAGGGGGAAACTGCATGGCCAGGATTAACTCTTGTTAGCAGTCCTGAAACCCTATTTGTCGCAGACCCATTGCAGCCATGGCAAACTGACTCACCTCGGATTTGTTCCTCTCTCCACTTTAGCTCAGTGGCTGTGCAGTCTGTATGGCTGCACAAAATGCCTTCTTCCACTCTAGGACCAGGGAGACTCAGTGCTTTGAGCACTGGTCATTGGCTCAGTATTCAGAAAGTAACACTGTAAACAGAATTACAGTAGTAGATAACATAGCAAGAATGGTCAGTTACATACTTAAAATAAACACTCTTTTTTAAACCAGGAACCTCATCTATTTGTTCCATGTGAAATATCCCTCCTCCAGGAATAGGAATTCAACATGCCACCCAAGGAAACTGAGGGAGTTGAATGAAGGTGCTGGTAAGATAGGATCAGAAATCACAGTAAATCTCCTTTCCATTTATGCCTTAAGAGTTTTATACAAAGAGTAACTTAGTTCCTCAAATCTTCTGTGTATTTAGCCATGGATCAAGAAATATTAATAAAGAATTGGCTGACCTCTTGATTGTGGTAAAAATTAGAAATGCATGTTTGCCTGGGAAAATTGAATCTGATTGCATTATTTAAGCCAAAACCAGAGGATGCTGTAAAGGAAGTTTCAGTTCATTATAGCATTTCTCAGATGTTAAACCATAAATCTGAATCCCTTCCAGGTCATACTAACATCAGTGGTTGTCTGATGATGCCTGACAGGCACACAAAAAACCAAATTCTTATTATCATTTCAATGCCTAAATTAGACTGCTCATTAGAAAATGGACACCACAGAAAATACTACCTGTGGTACTTGTTAGCTGTTACCACACAGCAAGGAAAAGCCAAAAAAATAAGGCTTTGGAAGAAAGGCAGATTCTCTTTTCACCCATTCTCAGCTCTATGCTTGACAAAGAGGACAAACTGATAGGGCATCTACAGAAAAATCTACAGAAATAGTGCCTTGCTTTTCTTTATATTCTAGCAGTTCTACAGAGTTAGAGAAATGCAGTCTCCAGCTCTGCCAGTGTGATGTTCTTTGCAAAAGAAAGAGGAAACGTGCACATTCGTAAATTTCAGCAGTAGAAAAAGTTTAAGAGTGCTGTCACCTTCTCCATTGTATATATAGCTTGGTAAAATAAGGGAGAGAGTGTGCTCTTGGCAAAACCATTCAGCATTCCGTGCTCAGCCTTCCCTCCTGAAATAAAATACAATGCTAAGTTTTTAACACTGGTTGTTTGATGTATGGCTCTGTTCTACCTCTTCATTCTAGTATGATCCAACAAACATTAGAGAGAAATTCTTCTGTTTAAATCCTCTACTGCAACAGAAGCAAATATCTTAGTTTTAGAAAACACATTTCTTAAAGATAAAATACAATTCTACAATACTCTTTCAGATAGATTTGCCATAAGTCAGATACCCTTGTTCAAATAATGGACTATGAACCTAATTTATCTTGTGCCTTCAAGAAGTACAGAACTTGCTCTTATTAAGGTGCTCCATTATGAGAGTCTGTGACTTGTACAATGAATTGTTTCTCAGCTGTGCTGTGGTTGCCATTATAAGTCTTCTGGTTGAATGAAAAGGCAATTAAGGGGGAAAGTATTTAACAAGAGACCAAAACAAAATGATACAGTTTTAAGGACACATCATGATTACAATGACATTTAAAGTGTCATTCAACTAAAATAAAATAACAATATAGAGCTGCACAGGACTCTGGCAAGAGTGACAGGAACAAACCTATTAACTTAGGAGAAAAAAAGCCACTTCATCCTGTAATAATACCCTTAAATCACAAACATTTTTTTCCCACCTCCTTTTCACTCTTCACTAAATTACAAGTGTATGCAAGAGCAAATATAAGTTTCTTATTGAAATGACCTTATCAAATCTATACTGGATGACTGACACACCTAGATGCAGTTTTCTAATGTTCTGTTTTTAAAAGTCAAACTTCCTTTTAAATTCCAAGTTTTAAATGAATCATTCAAATTTTGAGGAAACTACCAGAGTGCATAAAAAACCCTCCAAGTTCATCTATTACTTAAAGGATATAAGTCAGTCCTGTGTGAGGAAACTGTCCTTGTGCTATGCAAAAATACATTATACAAATATGAGGGCACTGGACAGCACTCTATGCTGTAAAAAAGTAAGCAGAAGCAAAGAAAAGCTGTGAAATGTTTTAACAGTGTTCTTCCTGTTAAAGCTGGACTACACAAAGTACAGTGTAGGCCTCCTGAAGTGAAAATATCCGAGATTTTATTTATGTTTTGCCTAAAGAGTCATCAAATTATATCTAGGTTTTGGTCCTCAACACATTGTTTCAGCAAGGTACTTCTAAGGGGTGGTGTATCTGATACTACCTGTAGGAGTAAGATGCCAGTTTTGTGCTTTTTTCTGTTTGCCTGTTGACTCTGACATTTAAATATTGTTTGCTCATTTAATTTTCTGTTAGTGCTAGAAATTGGACCAAACTAGGTTTAGCAAAAATTCTGGTTTTTATAGTTGTGTCTGGGTGCATCTTACATTAATCTCTGTATTAGTTTGCGCTGCATTTATGACACTACTTCCTCTCTTTCCCAGCACCCTGCAGGAGGGCTTGTTGGAAGAGACAGCAAAATCAGAGCTTCTGGTTTTGCTTTGATTTTGCTTCTGATTCAAATAAAGCCAATAAATACCAACTCAACAGAGTGGCATCTGAAACTTTCCTTCCTTCCCTTAGCAGCAATATTGCCATGAAAGGCAGTAACAGAGTACCTGTTAAAGCCTCTTTTTATTCAAAAAACCAACAGAAATGGTAATTAATGAACTAATCTCATGAGACGTCCTTAGCAGGCATATCTTTCTGGAACAATTTTTTTGGACTTTAGTCCACAACAAAAGTTCCTTCTGGCCCTTTCTGTCCTCTCCCACCCCTAAGTTCCAAGCCAGCTGTGAAGTTGCCCTATTGCTCACTCTGAGCAGGGATCATGTAGGACCATTCTTAATGACTAACAGGTCTTTCAGGATTATCAATATGTGTATGATCATTTTGAAAACCGTCTTGCAAAAAGTTTAACTCACAACACCACTGACAAGAGTTTCTCCCTGTAGATCTTTTAGTTGAATTGCTACAGAGCAAGTGAAGGGGAAATTAATCGTGATTGCAGAAGCATCATGGGACCAATTCACATCTGACATGAATCAACTTTCACTGAAAGTGTGAGAGTATGTCTAGGAACACTGGGTATGGCATTTCACAAGGAGCAGAAAGAGCTTTTAGAATTATTTGCCTACATGAGGTAAATCATTTAAAAACTGGGAGATAGTATAAAAAGTAGCCACATAGCTTTAGTCAGAAAAAAATGCTTTCTATTGTGGTTGTTAAAGAAACTACAGATCAAAAAGGTAAGGGGCAAGCAGAAGGTTTTTTTACCCATATTAACAAAAGGATACATTTGAGATTTCTAATTATGTGGGGAAATAATACGCTGATGTAGTGGTTGTTAATTCTCAGAAATTAAAAGGCAAGCCTGAACTGCAACCTGGAGTTTTTAGAGCAGTCTCAGAGCTTGGAGAATTCATAAACCAAGTACACCTTCTGACATAACTATAAAATGTGGTATAAAGCCTAGGAAAAAATAGCCATCTTGAAAGGGTAACAGCACTTTTATGAGAATTTCAACTGCACCATGGCAACATCAACCCGTCAAAGCAAATGAAGGGCAGTAAAAGTAAAATTAAAAATGATGAAGGGGACACCAGCTTGCTAACAGCTTTCCAAGCTGTAAAGCTTTCAAATATTATCTCTTCATTGGTTTGTTCAATCACACATGCTGGTTACCAAGCTTTATCATATTATGCATCTTTTCCATCACTGCAGACTGCCAGGTTTTGACGGACCTAGAGTGAAAAAAATAAAAAAAATCTTTTCCCTCTTGGTGCATATCCCTCCTTCCCCCTTACTGCTCTCTCTACAGGTGCATACTGTCTATATGGTGACACCTCCTTGTATTTACCAAAGATACAGAAATTATGAGAGTTCAAAGTACTCCTGGCTTCTTCAGCTTTCCATTCCTGTCTCCTTCTTGCTTCAGCCACATGCTCCAGAGCCTGCTCCCATGGCTTTCCAACCCCAGGCTAGGCTTGGCTGCTCTCTCAGGTGGGCCACGTATCACAGCACCCTCAGCTTAGAAAGCCTCTCTTCAAAGGTTTTATCACCTGCAAATGGCAATTTCCTAGTTTGCAACTCATTCATTGTCTTACAGTGAATTTGTTTTATTCATTTCCTTGAAGCACTCAGATACAGTTTTTATGCAAGACTCAAGTGCAAATGTAGAGTTAGGTGTGCTGTGTGCCTTGAGTTTGAATCCCATATCTGCTGGATAGGCCATGGGAAAGAAGTAAAAGCTCAGTCTCTGTGATCCATTTAATAGCATCTCACAATAAATATTTCTACATTAAAGAGCCACAGCTTCCTGCCTGGGCCTTAGCTCCTGTGATTCCTCTCATTTTTTATTAGCTGCAACATGATTCATGTTTTAATAACTTTCTCATTTAAAAATAGCATTAAATCAGATCATAAACATTGTATATATGTTTCATTGTCATTAAAAAGACCTTCTACTGCAAAAAAGGTGTACTTAAAAAGAACATTAATAAAGTTATAAGTAGAAGGGGTATTTTAAATTAAAATCAGTCATTAAAGGTCCTCTATCTTTCAAGGCAGAGAATTATCAAAATGTAGATTGCTGAAACTGTAACACATCACCGTTTCTTTTGGGGCAGAAAGTGCTTGGACTCTTTCATACTTAAGTTGTCATTAATGGAAAGGACATTGCATGCATGCATGGTTTATTTCAAGCCCAAGATTAAAAGAGCTCTGAAATTCTAACTATTAAATATGAAAGGTGTTTTTTTTAACTTTTGTTTGTTTCTGGAGAGAAAATTTTGAGAAAAACTATTGTATTATCTATAATCTATCTAGAGATAAAAGTGCACTTGCATAGTCAGCACAATACCTCTTGATAGGGACAAATATTCCAGCAAGAGTATTTAATAAATGCTAATGAATGTTTAATAATTCAATTAATGATTGCAACTCCTGCAAAATACATTCAGGGATGTGTTTTTTCTGGTTTTCCATTGATGACAAACTAGATAAAATTTAACCACTTTTTTACAGAAGGGATTACAAACTTGTCCAAAGACATAAGCATTTACAAAATGTGTACTTTACAACATGTTTCAAGGAAAAAAAAAATTAATATCTTTTAGATTAAATTGTCTGGATAAGGAAAAGAAAGCATGTTTATTCATTACCTTTAGTAATAGAGATTTGCTCTTTTGCAAGTGTCTCTGATATACACAAAAGTGAAATTTATTTTCAAGTTTGGAGAAACCAAACCACTTTTTAGGCTTTTCTGTATGTTTGCTTTATCTTGCTTCACAAAAGAACACACTCCTTGCACAGACCAGCAGCTTCCTTTTCTGGACTCTCAGCTGGCATAAGCACTGTTTGCCTGGATAATTGTCTGTTTTCTAAAGCTACTGAATAGTTTCTAGCATTGAAATGTGCTGCTCAGACAGAATTCACACAAAAGAGATGATGCAGTTTGGGCTGGTCAGTTTGGTGAAGCTCCTCAATGGTGAAGACTTCACAGACTTCTTTGTTTGCCTGGCCACTTCTCTACGTAGTGTCTGGGTTTGTACAAGTAAAGATGACTGGAGGTAACACACTGTTCTGCAAACATGGGAGACATATCAGTGGGTGGGGAACATCAGGAAAAGTATATTGATGAAAAGCTTTATTGAGCTTATTATTATTCATTGGACCTGAGAGTTGACACAGACATTACACTAAGCATGGAAATGAGTGTGGGCAGTGGAATTAGTCATTAGAGGTGACATATTCTATATTTAAGCATCTTCATCTCCAACTAACTACCAAGAGGAGTGCCTCTGGCACTTTGAGAGGGTAGAAAAAAGCATTTACAGACATAATTACATCAAGCAGCTGGATGCAGGATGGGAGCTCCAGTATCAACAGAAAGGAACTTGAGAAAGGAATTGCTTTGTGACCTGGTGCAGTCACATAGAAGAGGCACCTGCATGAACCTGAAACAAAGATGCTGGCATACCTAAAAAGGAGAGATAATATCCAAAAGATCAGAGGTTAGATCT